CGCATCCAACAAAAGCGTGGATAGCCCTTGTAGGGTTTATTTGTAGAATTGTACAAAGTCAAAATTTAATACAATTGGTTGTCACCTACATTTAACATTCCACACCTTCCAATACCTTTTTAAACCTTGTTCACCTGTATTATAATAATTTGTGCAAGACTAAAGTTTATTCATTCCAAACTGAACAATATTTGTTTATATAACTTCTAATTTTTAATTGATCTCTTTGAACACGACACTATGGACCATTTGAACCTTTTTCTCAAATAAAAATGAAAAGAATTTATAAATCTGTTGAGAAAATCCTGTTTAACTTGTTATTCCCTTATTTCTTCAATTCTAATAGTGATAGGACAGCTAGAAAATAGAGTGATTTGATAATATCCTTTATCCCATCCAATCAAAGTATATTGTATACTGACTCAAGTCCCAACTATCTATTGTCTTCATGTGTAAATCTTAATATCATTGTTTGCTCAAACATCCTTACAAAGGTGGCAAGCAGGCCAATCTAACTTTTGGTCCACATGCAACTTTTAAGCTATTAGGAAGTGTACGATGAACCCCTGTTTATCTCCCCCTGGTATTCTAAAGGGGAGAAATTGCATTTTCAGAGATCAAAATGGTTACAGCATATACTTTTCATACTACATATCTGTTTCTAAACAGCATTACAGTGTCTATATTTTTGTGTTTGAAAATACAAAGGAGATTTAACTGCACTGGATTATAAATGGTTTCAAAAAAATAATATACATTTTTAAACATTAACATTGATTTGTAACAGATGGTACTTGAAGTAATGTTTTTTTTTCTGATTTAGAAACAAATATTTAGCCACACTGAGATGACAGGTAAGCGATGCAGGTTTATTTGAGCTTTTTGTTTAAGTAAAGATCTCAAGACATTTTATACGCACCAATTGATGAAATCCTTTGTCTTATGTGATTCAGTTGCGTCCGGTTGAATTGAAAACGTTAAATCTGAGATCTATTTGAAATGGCGAACTAAGCACAACAACTCTGTGATGGTACTCTGTTGAGCTGGCAGATATTATATTTACTCTATCACTACCTCCGAGATAAGTTGAACTCTGAGTTATTGTTCACTAACGGTATAAGTATTCGACAAACAGGTTTGATTGATGTGAAAACGCATCACACGGCAAAGCATGCTCCCATGAAGGTTGCTTCCAAATTTAAGAAAGCCTTGATTTGTTGATTTTCACACATGGCTGTTATGTGTAAGAAGTATTCGGTAAAGAGAAAGTGCATGTAACTACATATAGGAGTGATGAATCTGAAAATGCATCACACGGTATAACACCCTTACATGAAGCATGACACAACATTTCAGGAAGCTCTGACTTGAAGTTACTGAGAAAAACATAACAAATTTTTATACATGACCATAACGTGTAAGAATTGAAAAGTATTCTGTAAACAGGAAATAGATGAGCGGTATATTTTAAAATGCACCATACAGTAAAACATGCTCACATAAAGCTTGATGCTTCATTCCAGGTAGCTCTGATGTATAATTCCTGAGAAAATTATGATCAACATTTTATTGGACAGACGGACAGACAGACGTAAACCAGTATATACCCTGCCTTTGAAAAAGGCATATAATTATAAAACATATATAACCTACTTGTAACTGGTTGTCCTCTGGAATGGAAGTTTGACCCTTATTCGGGGTTTATCCAATTGTTTGTACGGGATATATACATGTATAATTTAGATACCGCTTGACGTAGGGTTATCACAATCACAACACTTTTCTTGATTCTCGTTTTGAGTATATTATTCACTTATTGAGAAATAAATGAAAACTTTCCCTAGAATCAGTCAGGCTGTTCAGTCTTTTGCAAGTTGACCTGTCCCATTGTATAAATACAATAGCTATTGTTCAATGTGGAGTATATTCAATGGGCCCTTGAAATATCCCATTGAAAAAACAATCATGAATAGACTAATTTAGCTGAAATTTGTTTTTTCTCTTAGTGATGAAAATGCATGTTCCAATACACGAATAAAAACAGATATTATCAGAGCAAGATGTAATAACTAAAAATGTAAATCAATGCACTACTGAAAAACAAATTTACATTTTATTTGGTCAGTACATGTAGTTCAAATACATGTAGGCATATGATTTTTATTGCATATTCTTTACTCATTAGTACCATACATACAGTCCAGTTAATTCCCCCTATCTTTCTGCAATTTTATAATATCAGGGAGAGTTTCAATAAATTGAATACATAACAGAAGTATACAGAAACTTTTTTGAGATCTCTTAAACATGATATTAAAGATTACCCTCTATCAACCTATATATACCATTATATCAATATCAAAAGTATTTTCCTCACCACCAGTCATGGCCTTCAGAAGACATAAAAACATCCGTGACAAATTAGTGACATCTGCATTAGCAAAGCAGGCTACTCCACCTCCCGGTTGCTACAAACAATGTGGTCGAAGGAATTGCTTATGTTGTAAAGCTGCCAATACAAGCAGTTCTTTCATCAGCTCCGTTATTAAACAAAATTATACCATCTACTCAATTTCCAACTGTAAAACGGAGAACTCAATTTATATATTAACACGCAACACTTGTGGCATTCAGTATGTTGGAGAAACAATGGATAAATTCAATATTCGGCTCAATAACCATCGTTCATGGTACAAAACCAACAAAAACTGTCCTCTCACAAGACATCTTCGCTCAAAGAAACATCTTGATAATGTTACTTTCCAAATCATAGAAGTCAACACCGAGTGGAACACCACGGCGAGAAGGAGAAGAGAAAACTTTTCCCACCAGCTCCACACTTTAGAACCGGATGGTCTTAACGAAAAAGACGAGAAGAGATACAGGAAAGATAAAGAATAATTTAATACACAGCATCGTCTTTTTTATCCTGTAATATTGGCCAATGGACGTTGCAAACTTCAACCACAAATTTTGTATACAATCTTGAACTTCATCCACATTATGTATTATTTACAAGGCAGCTAAATTCATATGCAACATGTACATTGAGCTGCAAAAGTTTCTTATCATCTACATCCGATTTCACCTGGATAGCTGCACACTTGATAAAGCTAGTTTGTCTAGCGAAATATTGCGTTTATTTTTATTGTTTTGTAAATATTTTAAACATTCTAATATTTACATACTAAATAGTGTGTTAAAATTACATTGTTAGGCAATCTACCATTATATCAATATATATGTATATGTCTAATGTTTAATGTTAAATTTTGGTATCATATAATGGTTTATAACAATAGATTAGAAACCGAGAAAACATGCTTCGAGGTTGGTTCATGTTACATAGAATAAATTTAAGACAGGCTAAATGGCTTATAATTGGTACCTTAATATAAACATTGTCATTTTCAAGTTTTTTGTTGGTAGAGCACAAATTAAAAAAAAATTGAAAAATCACAAATTTCCATAAGAACATATCGAAATGTCAGAAATTTACTTTTCTACTATAACTGTTATTGAACAAATTGAAAATAAAACATTGTAAACAAATTATGAGAAGGTGTAGAAAATTCAGTAATAAATTGGTGCATACTAGACATAAATGTTATCCGTTTATTATTTTTTAATAGTGACAAAATATGGGGCTGATAGAGCAAATGATCAATGCAGTCAACAATTCCCTTCTGCAATCTAGTAACCCACTAAAAACAAATTACACCAATTACAGTATAAATTAATAAGTTGCTATTGAATAGATAAAATGCAGTTTTGTGTGTCCTTATCTAGTATAGAGCCATGCATTTTCATAACTGGGGGCTAAATATTTCGTTCAGATAAATTGATCAATGAATGATTGGTTATTCAATGAGCAATTGAAAGGTCACATTACATAAATTCCACAGAGAACAATAGTTATTGTATTTATACAACGAGACAGGTTAACTTGCACAAAACTGAATAGCCTGACTGATTATAGGGAAAGGTTTCATTTATTCTCAATAAAATGTTAGTAGACGTTGAGAAACAAGCCATCTCTCGATCTATGTGCCTTCACGAACAATTCAGTAGTAAAATATTAGAATTAATGAAGATGCAAACAGTTGACAAACATGAACAATGTTTTAGTTGATTTTAAATTTTCTCATGAATATAAGTTGCAATAACACCCAATTTTGTCATCTGTTAAAGGTAAATAACTCAAGATCGCAAACTGTTCGTATTGCTCCCCTGTTTCAAGAGTATCATGTAAGTGGGAAGTTTTATGTGCCTTAAGAAGTACCTTCATCAACTTTCAGGACTATTCGCCATCTATTCAACTATAATCACCATTTTCTGGAAAGATTTTTGGTTTTGATTTTGGAATTTTTCGGAGTTTGGTAGATAAGTTATTCCTTATATTCAAAATGGGTTTGTTATGCGTTACAAATGATGCCAGAATTTATGCTTTCAATCACCATTAATGCGGTCCAACCATGACATAGACATAAAACGTCGAGCCAACGTTTTATTCTACATATTAGTAAAGCTAAAAAAAAGCTACAATATCCCAGAAGATATAAGCTTAAAGTAGAAAAATTGTAAAAATAGCATTTCAGAGGCAAAAATCCTCACAAGGAGTTATGTCGATCATTTGAAATTATTCGTCCAATTACTGATCATTTTTCTGTTTTCAGTTTTTCTGATTTTCTTATGATAGTAGTTTCGAAGATGTAAGCCAAGTTTTGTCGGGCAATTTTGGTCAACTGAAAGTTTTTGTTTATCGTGCCTTGTTTGTCAGCTTTGAGAAAAACTGCAAACAGTATTCTATAAATGTGTTAACACAGAGGGATACATTTATCTTCAATGTATATGCAACAATCCAGAATGTCAGGAGGTTTTGGTATAACATACTTTTTAAAATTTCACACGTATTCTTTCATCAAATGTAACAAGCTAATATGTTTGATGAAGTACACACTGCTGTGCACAAACACACAGATATACACTACAACATGACATAGCTACCTATTTTTTAATATAAAAAAATCCGATTATATTTTTCTCTGCAGTAACTGTCAAACTCTTATTTTGCACTACAATAACTACCAAATTGTTATTTTGCACTAAAATAACTACCAAATTGTTATTTTTCACTATAATAAGAAAGAAATTGTTAGTTTTCACTACATTAATTACCAAATTGTTATTTTTCACTATAATAACTACCAAATTGTTGTTTTCACTGCAATAACTACCAAATTATTATTTTCACTGCAATAACTACCAAATTAATATTTTTCCATACAGTAACTCTCAAAATGCTATATCTGCCATTATTTGCTAGATAGCACATACTTCTGGCTAACAGACTCGTTTGACTTGTTCCTGGAATAGTATCTTACTATCTGAACTATTTCCTCGATTGGAGGCACCACAATTGCAACTGTTGCGGCAATCATTACCCAAATCTGACAGGCGAACGACCATGATGAAAACTGATCATAAGTCAATATTTCTAATGATAAAACGTTGGCAGGAATGACGACTCCGAATATAACAAAACTTATCAAACCACCCACTACTGCCAGTATTCTCGCACTTCTGAAAATTTTGGTCATATGGGTTGTATTTACTTTTGTATCTTCTGAAACATTTATACTGGCAAATTCTTCTTTATAAACGTTCCTCCAAGGATTTAGAGGATTGTCAATAGAAAGAGTTTTATCCCAAACCCTTTCAGCATCCTGTTTTGTCTTGATATTATGAGTACAGAGCGATATGATTATTGTGCAGCTGACACTCATGATTACAGCGGAAGTTATTCCCCCTAATAAGCTGTAATCTGAGGAAGTATTGGTTAGAAAGTTACCTAATCCTCCTTCATACACTAATTCGGCTACAATTAGTACTCCAGCAACATATGCAAATATTCCCATTATGCTACCTAAAATGAATATACAAATCGTCCAATACATTTAATACCATCACCTTGAATTCATTTTATATTAGCGAATAACAATTAAAATGCAATCTGATAAAAGAGGAGTAAATAAGCAGAAAATTAGTGGCAACAGTAGTTTACCGATGTTCAAATCTCGAAAATCCATGAAGAAGAAAAAAAAACAAATAATAATATAAAAAAAGATAAAACACTGAAGGAATCGCATGAACTCCAAAAGGAGCGAAACCAGTGCGTCGACAGGTTAATGCATGACACGCCATGCGTTAAAGTGATAAAAAACCTCCTTTATTACCACTTTTCATAAGTAGTTGTAGTCTTCAAGTGATTAAAACCTACAATGAATTGACATGGGAAAACTGTTGCCTTTGCTTGTTTTGGTACACGCTTTTTTTAAATGTGACCCAGAACTGTCATCAATTCTGAAAAGCAGTAATCTTAATCGAAATGCCATAAGATCCAATGTCTGTTACTAATTTTACCTGTAATTATTGCTTTTGCTGTACATTTTGACCATACAATAGACATTAGTAGTGGACAAAGAAATGCACTATAGACACCCTGCAGTGTGAAAACAGCCCAGTTTAAATTCACGCCGAGGTTAACAATAATAAGTCCATAGGGAACTATGCCAATTGTCACCCATATCATGCACCAGGTTTTGTAGTGTAATAGTTCGTCTTCATATCGTCGATACCTAAACAAATAAACAAATAAAACAATCAAAACCCCTAATTCTTGGGCAATTTAAACTTGTCTGAAAGTAAATTGTATCATAATTATACGCACTTGTCAATTACTACTTAAGTCTTACTTAACATGGTCACCTGTCATATTGACTTGTTAAAGACCTTACGGTGACCTATAGTTGTTACTTTCTGTGTCATTTGGTCTCTTGTGGAGAGTTGTCTCATTGGCAATCATACCACATCTTCTTACTTTTATAGCGATCAAAATTCGGATATTTGAGGCAGTATGAAATAAGATAACCGGGTTGAGAATGGACGGAATGCAAAATATATATAAAATAGTTTTTGGATGGTATTGGCATCACATCACGCTTTGTAAAATGTTTGCTTTCATCTCTTAAGTGATTGGTGCGTAAATGTTTCTCTGACCAACCTCATCTTCTTACTTATGTACTTGCGGCAACATTAAAATAGGTAATGACTATTAACAAACTTACCGGCCATGAACACTACATTCGTAAGGATGCATAAAATGCTGAGCTTTCAGTCTGACCATGACATCATTTTCACAGGCTTTACATGTAGTTACAGAGGGACATTTACAGATCTGGTCTGAGTTTCCTGTGTCATCTGTATGCTTCCTTTCTTTCCCGCATAATGGACAGTTTGTTATATCAATACCTTTCCTATCAATGGTTTAAGTCAATGTTTAATGTAATATGGTAATGTAACAATGATCTAAATACGGACAATTAGGGTAAACTAGTAATAACAAAGAAAAAGCCTGTTGTAGTCGTTATATATCCCTTTTAATAATAAAACTTTCAAAGATACACTAATTGGAAATGCAAAAAAATGATTAAAGTCATTATTATTTTTTCGAAATTATTAATGTTCGTTTTGAAGATAAACATGATAAGTAATCCGTCAAGTGATTTTTTCCCGATAGAACAAACCGTGCCCATCTTTTTGGTGGTTTGGTCCTTCACTCTTAGGGAAAAAAACTCATCAAAGATACCAGGGTTGTAATTTTGTACACCAGGCGCGCGTTTCGTCTACAAAAGACTCATCAGTGACGCCCAAATCAAAAAAATTAAAAGGTAGAATAAAGAACGAAGCTGAAAAGCATTGAGGACCAATTACTCCGAAAGGTTGTACCAAATACAGCTAAGGTAATCAGCTTTCGTTGTGTTACCTTTTCGTAGGTATTGTATAAATTGGCCCTATTTTTTTAACCAAATTATTTTTAAATGGTTACTTGTCACTTTTCAAAAGATATGAAGTAGTTGTCAGAATTTAATTTCTATTTGTTAATCGTGATTAGCCTTATTGTTTATATCCTCGAAGTTAACCCTTCTAAAGGAAAAATAAAAAATCGAACTACTGCATGGCATGTAGATTTAAAAAAAAACTTATTTCCATGTGATTCATTAAATTCTCGTCGCAATTGTATTTAGTAGTATGCAATGCCGTTGACTCTCCCTAATCTAGAAAATAGAGATACTAGGATAATAACAGAATGCAGGGAACAAGAAGGTTGACAAAATAATATTTCAACATGTCATTGATTTCTTCTGTTTGCCATACAGTGGCTGTGAAGAAGAAAGGGAAAATTCCTTAATATATAACAATGAAAAAGCCTGTACAAAGATACAAACATATCCCATTCGTTTTAAATTACCTGTATGGACTGATGTAAACTTTATAAATATCATAAACTATTATCGATGACACGGCCATTACTTCCCCTGATCCCGTGGACATCAATGCCATCGTTATCATGGTAATCAACATGTAAGCTCCTGTCTTACCCATTACAGATTCCATTACAAATGGAGTAATAAAGCCTAAAAATAATGGAAAAGAGAAAAATAGATCGTGTTAAAATGTCTTTTTCTATTTTTTTTTTACTGCAGTTAGACATGCAATGTGACAAGAAATTCTTCCATTAAACTTATCATACGGGACTAAAATCTGGATCCAAAAGATTGTCCTAATGTCATAAACCAATTAAAAAAGTAAATTCCTCAAAAGACATTGATTTGTTGAAATTTCTTTTTAATCGTTACTAAAACAAGATATTCTCCGTTCAACAGATTCGTGCATAGGGATACATCAGCTGCTCGGGATATTAAAACGACGTAAGGCGAACAGAAGCTCTTCGTTAGGGATGCTTATGAGATTCTTGTATTGCTTCATTTCAAACACACCCTGAGCGACACTTTTATTAATTGCAACCGTATTTCGTTTATTCCTATGTCCTTGTTGATTAATTAATAAATTGGTTCTTGTGATGAATAATGGTAATAATTGACGTTGCAAGTGAAGCGGCAGCCTACAATCTATTATAATTTAACATCTTTCTCTTTTCATTTTTCTTGTGTACTTCTATAATCGCATAAGTCACAAAAATGTCTTTTATTAAAGGGAAACTCCGCAAAAAAATTAAAAATTGATATTTTGTTCTTTAAGCATAAAAAACCACATGTTCATAAATAAAAAAACTTTAATTCTCTATGTAAAGAGATCAAAATCGATTTTTGAAATTCACTATCAGTTCTCGACATATCGCCATCTTGTCGGCATGTTCGATCTAAAAAGTCACGTGATATCTATAAACCACAAAGAACAAAAAGAATCGGGGATTTACCGACCGTGCGTTAAAAGCTCCCATCATCAATTGGGGATAACCGTAGACGGTTATTCAGTGTCAAAATGTCTTGTCAAGCGTACGGTTGTCCTGTCAGACAAGGTTATGACAAAAGTCTACATAGTTTTCCCAATCCCACAAAAAAAGAAAGAATTGTATCAGACATGGTTGTACAACCTTAAACTAACAGCAAAGAGGTGCATCTATAGTAAGCACAAGTTGGTGTGTGAAGACCATTTTGAACAATATTGTTTCGAGGGAGATTCGATGGTAGTTATCCTTTTTTAATAACAAAATAACCTAGCAGTTCTGATAGCTATAGTTATCAAATCCTTATATGATAAGATCTCGTTGAATAAAAAAAATATAGATTTGATGAGGAAGAACAGTTTCAATTATAAGAAAGACAAATGCAGTGTTCTTGTAACAATCACTGATTTACAGAAGATTCATTAGTATGCCATCTAAATAAAGTGCATTGATTTGTATAAAGAATAGTTCCGTATTTAGACAAGATCATTTTTCAATTAATAAAGTTATACGATATAAAATAACATGTTTTTAATTATGATATTTAACGGCTATTGACAAGGAGCAATGTTAGGAAGAGGTTTTAGCTGGGACATAATATGTTGATATAGTATAATATTCCCAGGTTATAGATATGTAAATATCGAAATATCGGACATCTCAATTTTTTTTATTAAAAGTGGTTTTTTTTAACTAATCTTTAAATTATATCAAATTGATACGGGACCAATTCGGAACGGTCACTTATAAAGACACTTAGCTTTACCGTTAAATGTGTGACTCTATCTGGTATGTTCGGTGAAAAATTTATAGGTTTTTTTTCTTTTTAAATTTTATTTACGTTATCTTATTATATATATATTTTGGCTTCCTCCCGAATTGATAATAGGTATGTCAGAATTATTGATAGATGTCGTGTCAGAGCGACACATTCAGTTAGGTATTCCAAGGACGTATATTAGATACACGTCCCTGGGTATTCCAGTGACATCCTGTCAACTAAAAATTCGTATTACACAATTATATAATACAGGTTCATGCATGGCCTCTTTATTGAGTTACCCGGTGTGCACAGGTAACAATTATTGAACCATATATTTGTGTCTAACGTTGTTTATCTTGTGTGTGTTTGAAATTACAGTTCTACCTTTTAATGAATGATGTTCTGATAATAATATTATCCACTATTTTTGCTGATAATAAGTTTAAAAAAAATTATAAACATGACCTTTGAACATTTTTGTGAAATGAATATTGTTTTGTCATGATTCTGGACCATATTTTTGAAGAAAAAAAATTATTTACGCAAATACAAGCTTTTGTCGATTGGCAAACATGCAGATATATAAAGTAATGCAGCACTTATAGTCACTATCAATATTAATTCATTGAAGATAAGATAGCCCCTTCTATGTCTAATGTCCCTATCTTTATAAGGATTAGGACGACAGGGGAAAAAGGAGCGGAGATAGAGTGGCATAGTGAAAAAAAAAATAACCAAATAGAGAACAATATAGAGAATGATCGACGAAAAGCGAAATAGTTATTGTAAAGGAGCGGAGATAAAGAGAGGCATAGTGAAAAAAAATGTTTGCTTGACAAAGTTATTGCTCGCTTTGATATTTTTGGTTATACAAAATCACACATCGTGTTCCTAATTGGTATTCACGTGTACTAACTTGATGCTGGGAACAGTATATTAATATATATGTTCCTGCTTGATGTGTTAAGTTTCTGCATAGCATGGTTAAAAATAATTAGTATCCCATTTGTTATATCGTAGTGTAACGGTGTTACTTTGTTAAATTTATTTAGTTAGTTAAAGATTGTGTAAATAAGAATAAATCTGTATAAAAACTTCATATCATTTTAGTGATTGCCTATAGGCGTTTGATTATTGTTACATTTAAGATATAAATATATATTTAGAACCTTTAATACATCTTAAAGTAAAAGATGTGTGTCTGAGTTAAACGACACAAGAACCCTGTAATACTAGTACGAAAGTATAGCATGTAAAAATTCCTACTCAATATGGTTGTATTGGAAATCTTTTCATACAGATTGACAACTCATGGTCCGACATGCATGTAATATTTGCCACATGACGCTCATAGTTCTTTCTACCATCATCATCTTATTCATTAAATATTGCTGTAAACATCGATGGTTCACACCCAAACAAAATGGGAGTAATATACCTTCAGATCTTCTCTGTGGTATACACTTGTGAAATATATAGACGAAATTCGGTATTAAAGTGAATCTACATCTCACAAACACAATTTTTGAATTACGATTTTGAGTGAACACCCACCAAACCAATACAAACGTATGGCAAGATATAACCACGCAGGCATTCAGTTTTCATCAGACACAAGATAAATAATCACTCTCATAATCGTATATATGCATGCAGTTTCAAATATCGAGAACAAGCGGTCGATGTCTATAGATCATTGTTAAGTCCGTTTACCAACTGTTCAGAGTCAGACATGTCAATAGTTCATTCTTGGAACCTTCATATACCCCATCCGACGATGGGAACTCTTTCTGATAGTGTTGACAACATAAGCTTGTTTATCTGTACAAGTGGTTGCATGGCCTCTCCTGCCCCAACAAACAAATACGCTACTAGTCTGCTATCTCTGGAGCTCATCCTCAATGGCACTTATACGTCAGGAAACTTACAAGTATACTAGTAAAGATTGTTTCAAGAACAACGAGGTTGGGACGAACTGTTCTAAAATCGTCAATATCAGTAATACATTACTAAGATATGCCTTTAATTACAACAACTGTATTACTAATTTGGATTAATGACGGCTATCCTTAAAAAATCCTCAAAGAAATTAATGTATTAGCTTAGATTTATAATGTATGTATATTCATTAATGAAATAAACGATAATTGGTATTCTTTTCACAAATAATTTGTCTAAGTGATTGTCAAATGAATTTAATTATGTAAGAATGAAATGTTAATAAGAAAATTATAAAAAAATCATGCATGTTGTACTGTTGTATTTTTTCAATTAAAAACTTTAAAATTGCGATAGTTGTACGATTGTTAGCATTTAAACATCGCCAGATTTAAATACAAGTTAAAGAATTCCGGTAAGGTAAATTAAACAGATGTGCAATGATTATTAATTGGGAAATGTAACATTTAATTTTTAAGATTAAAAGTACTATTCTTTTAACTTCATATCTTAACTTTATGCTAATTGCATAGAACGTAACCGAAAATTGTTCCATTTTAATATTGTAACACTTCCGGAATTAAAAAGTTGAATGTTAATTTTCAATTAATTTATACAATTTCATTATTGTTTCTCTATTGTCATCGGGTATTTCATCTGGGTATATTAGACACGCTATACTCTTTCTGTTAATCCATTCAAAATGACAATATTCACACCTGTGTACGCTTGAATTCACACCTGTGTACGCCTGAGGCTAAATTGCTGCAAGGTTAACTTCAAACGAATTCTCCTCAAATCGAGAAATAAACAATGACTTTACAAAATAATATACACACTCTGTTCACAAATATTTTGCTTTGAAATGGTTATCAAAGTTATAACGGTAAATAAAACTTAAAATATTTTCAGTTCAATATCAGTAAAAATGTTCTATAGATATTTTATAAAAAAATCTCAATAATTTATGAAATTAATTCGAAAATATTTATATTTAGATAACTTCATATAGGAAGTTTTATTCAATCAATACAAAACGGTACACACATATTCATTTTCTTTCATTCTTATATTTTGGTTATTAACTACGACCAACGGTCATCTGTGCGCTTTTAATTACGTAAAATTCTGATAAGCAATTAAGACTTTAACAGATTTAATTTTTTCCCATGATTCAACAATTCGGGTTAAAACGTCACAACCCAGTGACGTAGGTCTATCAAAAAAGTTACAAATACTTGATTTTCTCTGTTATTAGAAAGAATATAAATTTAAAACTTTGTGAATGTGTTTTTTATGTCAAGATGAATATATTTAGATGATAAGTAAAAAATCGTGGACTTTCCCTTTAAAGGTAGTCAATATAGTTTTAAAATAAAATGACTTCGTAATAACTGGATATACTCACAGGATTAAACATTTTAAAATATAATTTGATCATTTGAAACAATACTGCTGACATGTAATTGTATATTTTCCTAATATACATTTATCAGAGCTTGAGAAAAAAAAAACAATTTGGCAGCTTTAGAAAATGTTTATTTTTATGAAACTCACCCATCCAATTTGGCTTTCTACTAATGCTTTCAAATCTTGAACTTTGTAATTTATATATATATATATATATATATGTCAAGAGATAAAGATAAAACGAATTACAACGGAACTGTGAGTAAAATTACATCGTCATTATCTATTTCCTTGTTGAATCCTTTTAAGCAGATTACAGTTATGTGTTTGAGAATTTGCTAGCATTGAAACGACGCGTCTCCCGTAGACCAATTTGGCAACCATCAAATAAAAAACTGATGGTCACAAATCTTCCAATACAATAATGTTATTTCACATTCTATACTTAGTATACTTAGTATGAGAGGGGCCTGATGGGGGGGGGGGGGGGGGGTGGGGGGTGGTGGGGGGAGTGTCTCATCACGGTTCACGAGTTGATTTTTTTGTCAATCACGATTCACAGAAAATAAATTTCCATGATCACGGATCACGAAAATTTAAAAAAAAAGACATGTTTTGTGGTTTTGAATCTTTATATACCAGATCTGATCTTTAATTTATCTTTTATGGCCTATTCCTAACTATGATATTTTGACTGAGTGTGGATTTGCCTGTCAATTGATGCATACATAGCAGGAGACGCTTACATTGTCGATGCTCTCGGTCTCGCTCCTTTTGAAGCTCATGCGATTCTCTCGTTTTTGTTTGTTACATTGATTTGTATCTTCTTAATCGATTTATGATATTTAAACATCTGTAAACTACTGTTGCCTTAATATACCCCTTCAAAATATATGACGTTGTCCAATCAAAATCGCTTTTATAAGCGAAAAACGTTGGAAACATCGTTGTAGAGTCCTACCTATAGATATTTGACACCAGATACATGGTTGTTTTAAAGTTTTGATAACTCACCAGAATCTACATCAAAAGAGCTCAACAGATGAGTTCCATTCTGATAGCTCATGGACATGTATAAGGTGGATGATGTAATGGTTATCGTTAATGGAATAGCAAACCACAGGTAGGCAGCGATGAAAAAGCCTGCAACACCCTGAGCAGGCTTAGCTGCAATTCGACTTTGCCAATGAGCTTGGTCACAAAAACTCAATGATGTTGCCATAAGAAACACCACTACTCCATATATCACACCTCCTCGAGATCTAAATGTCAAAAATGAGTTTTCATAATTACCATCTGGAGCGTGTATACATTTCATGGCCTCGTATATATTTTCCTTCTTTGTGAAAATGTTGTCAGTCTCTTTATATGTTACGTGTACAATAAACACTAGTACACTGACAAATGTTAAAGCAGTGTTAAAATATGATATATAGAAGGTAGTACCAAGTCCACCAATAAGACAGTAAGAACCAAATAGGAAAGCCAACAAGAGAAGAATCATTTCATCTGAAACATCCTTCACTAGAACATTCATAGCGGCTTTGGCTGCTAAAATAAGAGCCATCACTGTTATCATATTGGCAAATAGTGCAATACAGCAAAACACAATGTGTGCTCCTTTTCCAAAGCGTGCGCAAATAATCTAAAATTAAAAATGTCGATAATGTTAAAGTTTCTGTCAATTTATGTCTTGTTTGACATGTTGTTTGGACAATTATCTTATATTCAAATGTTTGGATTCGAGCGTTTCCTGATGAAGGTAAATCCAGAAAAGCGCTTCGGATGTGCGGAATTAATAAAGTGTAATTTCATTTGAAGATTTTTTATTTTCACGTCTATGTCTGGAAATAGTTTTTTGTTTTTTTTGGTAAATCGCTGTCTCGTATTCCACTTTTAAATTCGATTCATAGATACACAAACAAGCTTAGGGATATCCAAAAGAATTGAGTTGTCTGGACTTATATTTCAATATTTCTCTAATTTAGCGAATTTGGTGTTGGTGACCGTCTGTGTAGGTCTCGAGTTTTTTCACATATTTTTTCCCCTTGTCTGTTGTTGAAGACCGTATGTTGAACTCTATTTGTCTTATTGTGCCGTTGGGTTATTGCCGTATATCATTTTCTGTATTCGTGTATATAGTTGAAGCAATAAATCAAACAGAACGACAATAACATCTTTTATCAATTTCACCCCATGATTGTTAACTTCTATCCAATCACAATATCAACAAATAAATGAATAAATAAACAAATGGGTAAAAAGTATAGAAAACAAAAAAAGAAGGAAAAACATTTACCTGTAGAAAAGTTTTAGCTCCTGGTGCCCTTGTCTTAAGTGTTAACGAAAGAACTGGGAACATTAAAATATCCAACACAATGGCTACTGCAAAAAATAATGAGCCTCCTAGTCCGTACTGAAAAATGAAATATAAGTTGCGTTACGAAAGCCTTTAATGGCCATGGTCGTTATTTCGACATAAAATGTCGTTGATAAAGGTTCTAATAAGGGTTCGAATTTTGTTAGAATTATCATGTAAATGGATAAGGTAATTTATGGTATATTATTAGGAATAAGAAAGTTAAACTAAGGATAAGAGTAAGTTAAAGTAATGGTTAACAACAAGTTAATGTAAGGTAAAATACAAATGTTATGTTTACTTAGGTTTGAGGTTCTGTTTTGAGAACAGTAAGTTACAGTAATGGTAAACAACAAGTTAATATACGGTAAAAGAGAGGCGAAAGATATCAAAGGGACATTCAAACTTATAAGTCGAAAATAAACTGACAACGCCATGGCTAAAAAAGAAAAAGACAAACAGACAAACAATAGTACACAAAACACAACATAGAAAACTAAAGACTAAGCAACACGAACCTCACCAAAAACTGGGGGTGATCTCAGGTGCTCCGGAAGGGTAAGCAGATCCTGCTCCACATGTAGCACCCGTTGTGTTGCTCATGTTAGAACAAACCCGGTAATAAGTCTAATTCGGTAAGTCGCATTCGGAAAAGGGGAGGGGATTGTAATTACGACATTAGGAACACATCCGCTATCATCTGTGAAACGGATTTACCGTAACGGTCAACCAACTCGTGATGGCGTCCGTAAAATTTACGAAGGGATGATTTAAACTTCATCACTTGGAACTCTTGGTTTAATAGCTTCCTTGTGATCAGCAACCCTCTATCAAGGAAATCATGATAAGAAATACAAGCCCTGGAGTATCGTATCAACTGGGAGATATATACCCCGTATGCAGGCGCTGCTGGAATGTTGCTACAAAAAATGGAAAGTTCACATTTGGGAAGCTGAAATCATCTCTTTTGTCATAAAGTTTTGTTTATAAATAACCCTCATTGTCAAATTTCTAAATGTAAGTCAAGATATGAGGCAGACTTAACTGTATCTGTTGTATCTTTTATCTCAAGTTCGATGCGGGTAAAGTACACATGTAATGTTTACTTATGGTTGATGTTCTGTTTGGAGAAGAATAAGCTGTTGTTTAGTTTATTGTTTTGGTAATGACATAACATACTTTCACCCTTTGAATGAACTAATCCAAACCCTTATTGTATGTTATCTTTACCGCAACTTTTACCCTAACCTATTTCCATCCTTACTTTAACCATATCAAAACTCCAACCGACACTTTACTTTTGAATACTGACCATTATACTAAACCCTAACCTTTAACGCTAGACCTTTCCTATAAACACTGATCCCTATAAAATACTTTATCGCTTAATAATGTCATGCTTAATTACGACATTCATTCTGGAATTAACGCAATACTTTGTCGAAATATAGCAAAATGATGTTGAAATAATGACAGATTCTGTCGTTGTTAGGACATGATAGTTTTTCGTTCGACCCTCACCAGCTTCTGTGTGATTATTTACTTGTAGTACCTGATAGTTTAGATATTTATGAATAATTGCACAATAATATTTTGGTACCTCCTTTAGATTTAATAATGACGAATATAAAATATAATGTGGATTCATTTTTTTTCGGGGATACTTATTTTCGTTGATTTCGTTGGTAGAGGATAACCACGAATCTAAATTTTTAACGAAATTCACATTTTTTAAAGGTTTGTATACAGACTTTGGAAAATCCACGAAATCAAATATCTAAAACATACAAGTTTTCCTCAATACACGAAAATTTGTATCCTTGAAAATAAATGAATCCACAGTATGGCAATACCCCAATTGAAAATGACACTACACACTTTGTTTTGTCCTCTTACATTATTTTCAGAATAAATCTTTTAAAGGCCATTTCAAGCAATACTCTAGTTTGGCATGGAAAACTGTATAAAAGCCCATGTATGATATAGTTGACTTTTTGGCACCCCCTTTTTCATAGATACAAAACATTGTCTTCCCCTCAAAAGTGCTTGCTCCCTTTAAATGTATCTTCCGCCACTTGAGTATTTATATAATGTTATGTAGGTTCACCAACATTTGCACTTAAAATACATGTTGACACACAATTGCAATGTGTATAAATGTAAATATGCATCTATATTATTGACAACAGTTCTTATTGCAACTAAGAATGTAACTCCATATTTTTGTTCAAAGGAAAAGATATCACGGTGTTGCCCTCCGTTCAAAAAATCATCTCGATATTTCAAGTTAAAAGTTTCGATTATTTATCATGTTTATCACACTCCGAAGCTAAGGATTAAGTTTTAACCATGCATTTGTTGATCTTTTTTGTGGTATTTATTTGCATAATGATATAAAGTTCTAGAACGAGTTTGATTTTCTCTCCGGTTATCTAGCTTAATAATGGTTATCAAACTTGGAACAATTAAGGTGGCAATAAGAACTGATTTTTTTTTAAATTCAAATTATTCATTCGAATGTCTTTAATCAGTCACAACGTTTTTGATGACATCAAAACTTTATAATTTTCTACACGCTACACAACTCTTGAATATTGTAAATTGATCTATTAACAGTGCTTATATGATAAAAATGGTAAATGCAAATCATAATCAAGAAAAACAAACTTAGTTAATACTTTCACGGATTCAAACAGCAAGTACAACGCAGCGAACTTGTTCATGTGTTTTTCTCGAAATTGATACAAATGGATAACTTCCAATTTCTTAGTTGTAGCATACTGTTTGGTCCATCGTATGGCGTTTACAGATCTCAAATGATACTTTACGCGCATGCATGTTTACATAATAATACGGGCTTGATTTAGAGGGTTGTGCTCTTAACTCTAAAAGTTAAAATTTAGAATCTAGTTTCCAAATTGATCAAGCAAAATTTACTTAAGATGTTTTGTATATTATTTTAGGAATCATTTAGATGTATGGCTATTCGTGTTTACACATTTCTTTAGCTGTTGAAACTAAGAGTTATTCTTACCTTACTCATGATCGTAGCACTTTGTAGGAAGTCAGCCGGCCATAACATTTGAGAGGTCACTGTGACAGCTGTAAGACCTAAGGTAACTTTTCCGCCGGCATCAAAAACTGTATCTAAGCTGTGTGCATCTCGATAAATATATCGGCGAACTGCAAAGTGGACTATCCCTAAGGTGATCGATAGACCTCCAAAGCCAAGGAACATTAAAAGAAGAGCTTCATGTTTTTCAAGAACTGGCGTGATACTGAAAAAAAATCAACTTAGTTTAATCCGAAACGACAAAAGTAATAATAAATGGAAATGTTCAAACTGCACGCGCTTTTATAGTCACATATTCTATCAGTCTTATCAGTCGCTTTATATGTTTCGGAACAAATGTCGGCTAAACTAAAAGTAATAAAAGTAACCCATAATTATAACTTTTTTAAAGATAAATAATTGTGTTATGCTCGCACTGACAAATAACTCTGCCTTGTAAATTGTGATAGGTACATATAGCAAAGCTGTACTGATTCATAATCCTTAAAATCTAGGTCTATTACGAAACAATTGAAATGATTGTAGAACTGTGATGGGATAATTCCAATTCTTATTATTCAAAACATTTACCGCCAATCAACCGATAAAAAATGAGAACACATATGCAGTTTAATTGATGGAAAGCAGATTCCAATTTATAATATTGCACACTTATTGAATTAGAGGCAACAGCAGTTTATCGCAGTAAAATTGGTACCGTTAATGCTCAAATCTCATAAATACGATCATGATGAAATTAAAACCAGAAATGCGCTTCGGTCACATTCATATTTATGAAATGATATTTATTGTGTAGCTGCTGGTGGACTATCAGTTCCCGAGGCTATCATCAGCTCAGTAGTCAACATATTGGTGCTGACAAATCATAGTTACGGTACTCTTCATTAAATGTTAAAATTTTTCGAAATACATGGTTTTTCTGCTCCAATACATATATGGCAAAACGTTTTTGGAATTTTAGGTTTTCAATGCCCTTGCATTTTGTAATAGATTTACTATCAAATCGTACTTTCTTGTTTATTTGACCTGTTGATACTAATTGTATTGCTTTTTTGTTATTTAATGTTATTCAGGGTTATATCTGGTCTATATACCAGTTTTGATAAGTGTTTGGTATAACTATAAATTTTCACTTCGTACTATGAACATCAAAATTATTTATTTTGTAAAAATATTTCCTTTCTCTATTGGTACTGTACAAGTATACCTAACAACAAAACTATTTTCATTTACCTGTGTTTAAAGTTATTGCAAATGGCTGATATTTTTGTTCGAGTATATTGTTTTTCTTTAATTGTTTAACATTTCTTACCGATATAACATGTTACTTTTATTATTCTACCCTTAGTTTATTTATTTTGTATTTACATTGTGTCATAGGTCAAATTTATTTGTTCAGTGTATGTTCAATGGTGTTAATATGTCCTTTGATTGAGTTAAGCTATTTCAGTTGATATTTTATAGGGTATCTTTCGATGTTGTGATGTTACACTATTGTTTCAGAAAAAGGGTGAAGGTTTGGTACCATTAAAACGTTTAAACCCGCTGCATTTGTTTGCACCTGTCCTAAGTCAGAAATCTGATGTTCAGTAGTTGTCGTTTGTTGATGTGGTTCATAAGTGTTTCTCGTTTCTCGTTTTTTATATAGATTAGACCGTTGGTTTTCCCGTTTGAATGGTTTTACACTAGTAATTTTTTGGGGCCCTTTATAGCTTACTGTTCGGTGTGAGCCAAGGCTCCGTGTTGAAGACCGTACTGTGACCTATAATGGTTTACTTTTATAAATTTTGATTTGGATGGAGAGTTGTCTCATTGGCACTCATACCACATCTTCTTATATCTATTAGCCTTCCAACTATTTTGATTTGAACGCCACTGGTTAATCCGGTGAAGATGAGACGAGCACCTGGCGTACTACCTGGTATCATTGATATCACTAGAATTGTTAAAGACATAAGATTGTTGACAGCTTTAACACAATTATATAAAGTGTTTCTACAATGACATAATTTTTTTAAGGTTCCAACTAAATAAGGCAACGTTCAGCATAGAAGGATTTGGCTATTATTTTAGGTCCCATTTGGTCATATAGCTCTTCATATTTTTCGACACTTATACATCCTTGACTTTTCTTTACAAATTTGTAATTGTTAACCATCTATATGAATTGTGCCTACTTCACATTTGGTTTGTCCTGTCACTCTGAGGATCATTTTAGTTGCTTTCTTTTACAGATTCCACCTCATGTTTATTAACTACGAGGACTTACACGATACTATAAGTAGTCATGGCGAGGATTATACCGATTTCTTTTTTTCAAATATTTTGTTATTTTTGCAAATAGATATGACACAACTGCACAAATGTATTCTATAGTATACATCAAAATGTATATCAAGATTTCAGTTTTTGACTTAATATGTAAATCACTGCTGTTGGACGTTTCGTCCTCTAGGATATCACCAGCCCAGTGGTTAACATTTCGGTGCTGACAAATCATAGATACGGTACTCTTTATTAAATGTTAAAATTTTTCGAAATACATGTTTTTTTTACTCCAATACATAGATGGCAAAACGTTTTATAGAAGTTTGGGTTTTCAATACCCTTGCATTTTGTAATAGATTTGTCCTTCCAACTGTTTTGATTTGAGCGCCACTGATTAATCTGGTGAAGATGAAACGAGCGCCTGGCGTACTTCCTGGTATCATTGATGACTTTGTTATTGTATAGAATACTGAATGATATAGTTATATGTTTATTATCACTAGAATTGTTAAAGACATATGATTGTTGGCAGCGTTAACACAATTATATATTGTGGAGTATACAGATTAGAGTATTGATACATTAGCATTATGAGAGACGCTAAAGTGCTAAAAATTTACTTACTTCGATTGTTTTTCATTGATGAGTGACGTAAGCCGACAAGACGAGTTACTGGCAAAAATATTCCGTGCCAGGAACACAAGAAGAATTACCAATTTCATTTTTTCATCTAAAATAGAACAATGTTTTACTTAATCTTCAACATGAAATCCTTGTAAACAAATTGAAACTAAACTCTTTACCTTATTTTTTATCTTTTGTTCGTTTAAAAACAAAATGTTTGTAAGTTGATAAGACGCACTTACCTGTAGAAAAATGATTGAAAGATCCGGATAAACATGTCGATTTAATATACCTGTACAATCCAACATTATAATCGCGTCGTAAATAGTGCTCTTTTTGTCACACAGAAAGCTTGAAATTAAAACAAAAAAGTAATAATAGAAATATTGATAATATCGAGAGAAAAATATACTCTTCTTATAAAATTATAAAATATGTGAATCGAATAAGCATACATATCGAACATGATGCCTTCGTGACGTTTTTCTTTACCGGTGTCTGGAATACCGAAGTTGTTCAAGTTCATGCAAAGCAACAACTTTCCATCCTACTGTATATATGCTTACGTTGAATTAAAACTTTTTATGCTCCCGGTGAAAAAGATGTTTATATAGATTTTATTTATCATTCGGTATCTTAATTCAAATTTTAGTTCCTCGACAGTGTTTTCAAATCGACTGTTTTTTTTATAGTTTAAATACCATTGGTCATGTACCTCGACTAAATCAAAGTGAATAACAATACGTTAGGGTCTGGATGGGGATCTTCATTTCTATATTGTGTAATTGGAATCGCATCAGTTCATCGTACTTGTACTACAAATTGAATTGTCATTCAATAAAATAAAAATGCGTTACATTAAACTCGCATGGAAATGAAACGCCTTCCCAAGTATTAATGAGCACATGTTCGTCAGTGAAGAATGATGCGATTGTATCAAATATTTGCAACACAACTGTTGTCATAAGTGGATCGGATCCCTAAATTTCTCTCTAAGTTATGATGATGTTTATGATGTCTTTACCTTTGTGTGTAATGTTTTATCAATGGTTTGTTTTGTTTTGTTTTAGCCGTGGTGTCGTCTATTTTGATTTTTGGTTAGTATGTTCTTTTTATAGTCGAATCATGCATTTTATAGCAGGACATATATATCAAATATTAAAAAGGTTTCACGCGCCAGTTATGAGTCTTATGTAGGCGAAACACGTGTCTGGCGTACACAATTTCAAGTTTGGTATTTTGATGATATAAAAAAAAATATGTGATATATTTGCCTGTGAGACAAGTCTTCTAAGAGACCAAATGGGGTAGAAGCATCACGCATAGCAAGCTATAAAATGCCCCGAAATGACAAATGTAAAACAATTCAAACCAGAAAAACTAACGGCCTTGTTTATGTACAAAACAATAAACGAAAAAAAAAATGATATACAGTAACAAACGACAGCAACTAAATAACAGGCTCTTGACTTGCGGGACAGACACAGACAATATTTGGCGAGAAGTTCTATTTAAAGATAAGTAAAGCACTTGATAAAACTGACATCAGAAAAAGACAATGATATTAAGAGGTTGTTTTTGTTTATATTTTGAACAGTTTTGAATTTACCGGAGTGGATGAGTCCGAAAATTGACTGACTTAATTATTTATTGCCAAAGAAGAGCTGTTTACATCAAAATGACCGTTTTAGTTCAAAGTTGGTTTACTAGTGACATAATTGGGAGACACATTTGGCGAAGTAGATATCTGTTTACTTATATGTGACCCGCCATTACATTTCCAGACTTATAGAGGCATAAAGTCATTGTGAGAATAACGCTGTTTACTTTGTCACAATTGTAAACATACCGAATTGAAAGTCTGGATGATTTTTAGAAATGGTGCATTGTACATCCCATTTTTTCTAATGCATAGTTCTCAAATATCAATAAAAAATGCTATACAGATACACCATTCTTTTTAAAACCTCACCAATGATACTATACACCCAATTTATTCACCATACTATGTATGTGTAACACAGGAACAACAAATAATAATAGTTATACACATTCATGAATGTAACCTAACGATTTTTAGGGTTATTGTATTTGAATATGATTAAATCTCTTTTCAAGTACTTTATATTAAAAATTACTCGTGTAAGTAAAAAAAGTTACCAAAGCTTGCCTTAAGCAAGCCGTGAGCAAATGAAATTAGGAAGTAGAACTCTCATTGAATGTCCACGCGAAAAGGAAAAATCGTTACTAATTTACAGTATAAGTGTAGGTTATACAGTTCTTAAAATGTCATGAAAGAACATTTTAAAGAATACTACAATATGTTGTTGTAAAATTATAAAATCCAACCGCATTCTGTTAGAACTTTAACAATTAATATTCTTGAAAACTTAACGCACTTTCAGTTTTTGTTTAACATTTCAACACAAGACTGTCTCCCATTATATATACTTTTAGCGCTATTGCCTACATAAATAAATAAAGTCTTTTAGTTCCCATATAAATGCAAGTATCATTAAGAGAATGAGTCGTATGAATGTTATAATTATGTTAATCCCATTTTTTCATAACATTAGGAAATTGAATATTTTAAAAATGCAATATCATATATTTTTGACTGAGGTTTAGAAAAAAAGACACATAGCAATGGACTTTATGGACTTGAAGAGCAACTTTTTGTTCAATTGTTTTTGAATAAACAACCACCTTGAATAAATTTTCTGGAGATAGAACACTACAATACAAAATATTCTTTTAGAAATCATTTCCAATATTTGTATTGGAGATATACAATGGATTTTTTTAAAATTCTGTAATATTTCAAATTCTGTAATGTTTTATTTTACTTAGTATGACTCAAAGATTGAGTTGAAATAATCATAAATAAAAGAATCATAGTATTGACTAAGATAATTTTGATAAATTTTGAAAACAATTATTTAAAAGTAGTAATATCCGAAAAATAGTGGCGATACAACACTATAAAATGATTTTTCTCTGAACTTCCGATGTTCAACTAGTATAGTTCTGTCAAAAACTCGTAGAATGTAGAAATCTCGTTTTATAGTTGTATAGGGAGATAAACCATACAATCTGGATCTCAAATATATAAATATCTTATTTTTTTTATCAAAAGTGGACATAGAACATTATAAGAATCAAACGACGATTTGTCTATGTTAGGTTCAGTCAATTAATGTAAGTCGATAAACGTGAAGATATGTGATGAATTATTAGGAGTCCAAATCCTCGAAAGATTCGTATATAAGTAAACAGAAAGATCAGAAACAATATAAGACATTTGTAATATAAGTCCAAATAAGTCGTTGTAATATTATCATGTTAGATTTAAAATATATTTTACTTCATAAGTTGAAGCCTGGTAAAAATAATTTATAAATTGAAAGTAAAACAAACACTTACAAATAAAAGATGGTTTTTAGATAGTTCCTTCAATTTCCTCTGGTATTTAATGGAGAAGGTAAACTACTTTACTTTGGTTATATTCTTTGATGGAAAGTAAACAAGTACTGGGGAAGTTTAACGTTTTTAAATTATCTGCTCTAGAAATTTTCATAGATAGAATCATTAAAATTACATCATTATAATAATTGCACCGTCATTTTGAAAACCACATATAAAACGTTACGCTTCGCATGCTATGTTTGGTAGATACTTGCATAATTGTAGTACAGGCTGTGATTTAGACAAAACTTATTTCAATGTTTAGATTACATTTTCTAAAAAAAGAGCAAAGAGTTGTTTTTAGTACATTTGAAACTTGTTAGAAATTACTCAGCGCCGATAAAATATATAATGTGTCCTCTAAAATAAATGCGTTCCTTGATCGAAATATTGAATCGAATACTCCTTATGTAGATATATAAAAAGACCCATTACACTGTTGTTTCAACAAATTTGTCATAATATCTTGGCAGGATGTTTTCTCTCAGTACGTACTGGATATATATGTAATAAGCCCATTTTAGACTATGTGAACCAACTGTGCCCCTCTTCTTGCCGACTTGTTCCTTTATTCTTATGAGGCTGACTTCATACAGGAACTTCTTAGGAAGAAACAAAACAAGTTACCAGTATCCTTTAACTTTACTTTCCGCTATATAGATGATGTTCTCTCACTAAATAATTCAAAATTTGGTGACTATGTTGAACGCATCTATCCCATCGAACTAGAGATAAAGGATACAACAGATACAGTTAAGTCTGCCTCATATCTTGACTTACATCTAGAAATTGACAATGAGGGTCGGTTGTAAACAAAACTTTACGACAAAAGATATGATTTCAGCTTCCCAATTGTGAACTTTCCATTTCTATGTAGCAACATTCCAGCAGCGCCTGCATACGGAGTATATATCTCCCAATTGATACGATATTCCCGGGTTTGTATTTCCTATTACGATTTCCTTGATAGAGGGTTGCTGCTCAACAGGAAGTTATTAAACCAAGAGTTCCAAATGGTGAAGTTGAAATCATTCCTTCGTAAATTTTACGGACGCCATCACGAGTTGGTTGACCGTTATGGAATATCCGTTTCACAGATAATAGCGGATATGTACCTAATGTCGTAACTACAATCCAGTTCCCATTTCACGAATGTGACTTACCGAATTAGACTATTTACCGGGTTTGTTCTAACACGAGCAACACGACGGGTGCAACATGTGGAGCAGGATCTGCTTACCCTTCTGGAGCACCTGAGATCACCTCCAGTTTTTGGTGGGGTTCGTGTTGCTTAGTCTTTAGTTTTCTATGTTGTGTTTTGTGTGCTATTGTTTGTCTGTTTGTCTTTTTCTTTTTTAGCCATGGCGTTGTCAGTTTATTTTTGATTTATGAGTTTGAATGTCCCTCTGGTATCTTTCGCCCCTCTTTTAGACTAGGTACCTCCATAGGGCTGGAAATCTGATGGCTAGTCACATATAGAAATATGAAAAATCTTAAATTGATAACTTAATATTTAATATTTAATAGCAGAGACGTCTATGGTCTTAATTACGAAAATTACTAAATATTAAAAAATGAAATGAAATATATTTAACTGAAAACTCAAGGCAAAATGTTGAAAACATTTTGTTTCGGTACAGCACTCGCTTGCAGCCTTACTGTTGAAGGAACATTTCCTCGATCTGTAAGGCTTCATTAAACACTAATGAAACCCATTTACGCAGATATTACAGAAACAGTAAAGACTGATAAATTTCGTGAAATTTTCTACGTCCGAGGGCCGTTACCCCGCGAAAATTAGATCAGCCGGAACGGAACACAAACTAAGTCTGTAATTCATCATTATGCACTAATGTACCAAAAATCCAATCAATAACTGCATGCATTTCGGAATAGATTCAGACAACTATCTTATTTCAGGAGCATGGAATGACGAACACTGAAAACTCTATATGCTCGACTACTTATTAACGAGGCATAAACATTCTAAATTCACATCCTTTCACCTGATATCACAAATCTAACACTGCAGATTTGCATATGATATACCATCCTTCGAACAAAACCTAAATGTTAAAGAAATGCAGGAAAATAAAGCCTTTTTCTATCCCTGTTTACTTAACTTTGAATATATAAAGAAAAAAAAAATGGTCGGGTATATGAAAAAATGAAACAGAAACCGAACAAACAATAAACAAATGATGTCATAACCATGTACGCCGTACACAAACCAATGAAACTGCTCAAAATAAGTAAACGTCTTACAAAAACATGCGCCTGTAGATAACCACTTTAAATTATGTGTGCTACAAAAAGAAATGCCTCATGATGACCTTAGTTTATTGACCAGAGAGCAAGTAAATAGAAGTCAACATACGAAAAGTTTAACTGGTCTCCATGTAGAAAATTCCAGTGTGTTGACATCTACATGCAGGACAATGACAATGATAACTAAAAATCGAGAGGAATGCATATGAAATGTACTTTTCTGTAATATATATGTATATATAAAATTAAATCAAATTAAATTAAAATTAATTACAGATGTAAAAAAAAATGTTTTTCACCCAGAAAACCCTAAAAAACCTAAATGGTAATAGAAAAAAATTAATGGAATGAAATAAAATAAAATCCTCCCGAAAACTGTCTTAGTTTAAACCAAACTGTGGATAGTTTGGTCAAAGCATAATCATTAATAGTATACAATTTTCTTCTCCATCTTCGTAATTAGACGGATAAACCATGCGTTTCAGTTCTGCTTTATTGTTTTATCAGCATTCATTTTCAAACGTTTTGCTCGATTTCCTCATCAGTTGTATTGACAAATCGTATTTTACCAATCTCCATCTTTAGCAAGTTTAAGACCACATCAAAATATGAGCCACACGGAAAATCAATAAATCATCGCGTTACGCGATCAGTGGGTAGAGCATACATATCAAGAGTGAAGGTCAAAATACGCGGTCAGTGGGCGAAGTATTCATGTATATAGCCGACGAGGTTTTGAGAAGTGAATTATATGTCATTTGTGTTTTTACCATTATATTATTTATATACTCAATACGGTTAGCATAACCGAACAAAATTATTATGCATTGACCCAACTAAAATGATTATTAAAGCATAATAACTTATATTGCATTTCACACATTCTTGTGCTTTTTTGTTACTAACACAGGCGCAGAATTGTCTCCCAATTTTACGTATTGATTTTTTTTCACTTCTCAGTCATGAACAGGGTAGCCATCGTAGAGATGGCGCTTCTTGAAAACACTTAATTTCATTTACTTTGTATCATTTTAATCGTTACTTGAAAGGTGTCTTTTGAAAGGACAAATGTTTTTTCTAACTTATCAGCACCATTATATCATATATGTTTATGGCTGTGTGCTATATAAAGTTATTACGTGATTTGTAATCAGGGCTAATTTACGGAGTTCATAAAACACAAAAAACAAATCTATCACATTATTCGTTAAAAGAATGACTTGAAATTTTGAAGATAATAGACACAGATAAAATACCAAATTATATAGAATATCTTACACTTATGCATTTTCAAGATCTTAAAGTATAATTCAAGACAACATTAGCTTACCGATATTCAAATCTCATATATTTGTTAAGAAGACAAATCAAGGTAAATAAAAAAAAAAAGAGTGAATCACACGAACTCTGAAAGGAGCGAGACGGAATGCGTCGACAGGTTTAGTATTTCCACTATTCATGCATCTCCCGCAACACGAATCAAAAAAGGTCACAATCGGGAATAGGACACAATCGGTAAAATTACAGATTTGGCGACTGCTTTAATATTATGGTATCTGAAAATCCAAGACTGCGAAAACATGTCACTAGTGAGTTGACACATAGACATACAGTATCGGTCAACCAATTCGTACTGGTGACCGTAAGACATAAATAAGTAGTCTCTGTTTCAGTTGTTTTTCCTAATAACTCTGAAAGAGCAGTTTTTGTGTAAGGAGAACACCACTGCTAATGAAGTTTGTATAAGGCTATACGTGCGTAATGTTTCAACTGAGATATGTTAATGCCATACGATTAGGTAGATGGTATGTTACTGCTGAGAAATAGGAAATTGGAAAGATGAAATTAGCACGTTTAGCAATCAGGTCTTTGATGAAACGTCGAATTAAAAGTTGAAAAACTGTGTGAATGATCGACCAACGTCCGTATTCAGAGTCAAAGAAGCTGTGAAATGTCTATCATCTCTTCACAATAAATATGTTGTTGTTCCTGCGGACAAAGCTTCAAATACTATTGTTTTTGTATGGAAATCGTACTACTACGAGTGTCTTGTAAATGAATTATTAATAAATGAGCACTCATGTAATCCCACATACAAAAACATATCATATGACAAGGATGAGATTTTGGCGAAACATGAGTCCTTCATGGCTTCAATGAACATTACATTGAACAGCAAATCTTAGGACTTTCCTTGTTTGTATTGGATATCTAAGCTTCACAAAATTCTGTACAAGCAACAGTACAATACCAGCTTGTCTGCATGTTCTATAAAGGAATTGTCCATTAGATTGACAAAAATTCCGTCCACAGTGAAAGAAGGTCTTCAGAAATACTTTGAAACTGTTTACTCGCGTAGTGGTATTAACCATATGTGGATTCTAATAAACTCTAAAGAACTTCTGCATAATTTCAAATGTCGATCTTTCTCTGAAATTAAATCTTTGATTTGTCAACACTTTATACCACCATTCCCCAAGTGAAACTGAAAAATCGTCTTAAAGAAATAATCCACAATGCTTTTCAATATAAAAATGGTAGCATACGGCATGTTTTGTTAACAGTAAAACATGCTACACCGAGGAACAAGTGATCAGTATGCTGGAGTTTCTTATTGACAACATATTTGTTGAAATTTGGAGGTAGATTTTTCAACAAAATTTTCGGCATTCCTATATGAAAGAACTGCGCGCCTCTTCTTGCCGACCTCTTCTTATTTTCATATGAGTCGGAGTTCCTTCTTGACACTTGACACTTCTTGATCATAGAAGCCAGATCATTTAATTTCACATTCAGATATATTGATGATGTTCTTTCCATTAACAATCCAAACTTTTCTGTTTGGGTTCCATTAATTTATCCTCCAGAACTGGAAATTAAAGAAACATCAGACACGGCTTCCTCCGTCTCATTTTTAGACTTATACCTCGAATTTGACATAACCGGTCATCTCAATACCAGAATGACAAACGAGACGATTTTAATTTTGAAATTATAAATTTGTCCCAATTTAACAGCAATATACCAACTTCACCTGCATACTGGATATACATTTCCCAACTCATTAGGTATTCAAGAGCTTGCAGCTGATACTCAAACTTTATCAAACGTCACCCGTGTCTGAGCAGAAAGTTGATGAACCAGGGTTATGTCAAATACCGTCTCGTTCCTTTTTCATCGGATGATACCAAGACCCTGTTGACAAATATTTCGTATCAACTTCACAAATAATACATGAAGGGCTTGAAGTATAGATTCTAGATACTGACGTTGTTTATCATCTGAATTAAGTGTTAAAGTGTTCTTTTTATTTGGCTTTGTATATGTTTAACCTTTAGTGTTTAGTCCATTTTTGATAATATCCTTTTGGCATGGCTCGGTTTTTTTACATCCCGCCATTGTGTTATTGTGCGATGGTCATTTTTTGTATTCTTGTCTTTCATTTTTGATTATGTGCTTTGTGTATAGAGTGTCTGTATGCCATTTTGTTTTTCTTTATTGACATAGTTGTTTGTTTTTATAGTGATTAAAATTATAACACAATGTTGACTGCTGTACCCCTATTTTTGACATGTTTACCTATTATGTATGTTTGTTTACTTCACACATTGTTGTCAATATAATGGAATTCTATGCGACTGTCATACAAGTGAGAGGTTTAGCTAGGTATAAAACCAGTTTTAATCAACCATTTTCTACATAAGGAAATGCCTGTACCAAGTCAGGAATGTGACAGTTGTTTTTCATTCGTTTGGTCTGTTTAAGCTTTTATTTTGCCATTTGATAAGGAACCTTCCGTTTTTTAATTTTTCTTGGAGTTCGGTATTTTAGTTATTTTACTTTTTGTCATAGATTCTAGTTAGAAGTCGTCCATCTGTGTCAATATTGAGGATTAGTTCAAGATATAAAGCAGACTTCTAGTTTCAGTAGTATCCTTAATCTCAAGTTCACTTGGATTTATGAGATTCAAGCACTCACTAAAATGTTGGTTGACAAGACATCATCAATATATCTGAAAGTGACATTAAAGAACTTTGCAAGATGTTTTTTTTTGTATGCATTCAGCTTCATATGAATAAAAAACAAGTCGGCCAGTAGTGGTGAACAATAAGTATCCATTAAAATACCAACTGACTGTTGAAATATCCATCCAACAAATTCAACAAATATACTGTCGATCAAAAAGTTCAGCATTTTGATGATGTGATTCTGTCGTGGAGGGTTTTTATGACAGCACAAGATTAAAGTTATATGACCAAAATAATTTTGGAAATAATCTCTATTACAGGGCATACTTGTTGTATTCACTGTTAATTTGGTCTCGTCCTGACCATCCATGAAATATTTGCCACTGGACGCTGAGTAACCAACAATTAATTAATCATATCCATCCCCCAAACGTGTCCATTTTTTTCAGACATTTCCGATTATTTTCTTTGCTCAAACGTGTTCGATTTTTATCTCGACCAAATTTGTCTGACAATAATATCAAGCGAAACGTGATGTCCTCTTGTCACGTCCATGGCAAATTCAATCATAAGGAACACGATTGAAGACATCGGGTTTTTCTTGGGGTTCAAAGACTCTAATTTAATGCATTCTTCAAACTCTATTTTATTCTTTTAACAATTTAAATATGCAAAGGACGAGCATCTCTTGTTCTGTTTGCTGTTTGCTGTTTGCTCTATGCGAATCTGTTTATCTTTAATATTTTTCAAAATGTAAGCCGAAAGGAGTGAAAGATAGCCAAAATAAAAATTTCTTTGTTTTCTTTACCCCCTGCCCAAAGGTTTTGTCAGACAGTTTTGGTCTGTAAAATGCTTTTGATATCTGGACGTTTGTGCAAAAAGGTCTCTACATGTGAACACAAAGTGAGGGTACACGTCTGCAAAAGATAATGCAATATTTAAGAATGTTTGAAAACTGTAGGTCGAATTCAGTACTCAAAATTGGTTATCCTCCATCGGAACAGGTGCAGAAAATTTGCTAACGCGACGGGTGTCACTTGTGGAACAGGAATTGCTAATCCCTTCCGGAGCCCTAGAGTTCGATATTGGTTTCTATTGATTTTTCCTGGTAATGTTTTGAGGGCTGTTGTTAGTCTTTTATGGTTTCCATTTCCTAATGGCATCTTCTCCCATTTTATCACTATCTTGGAAATGTAGAAATCATTTAATTTCCCACATTAACTGGGATGCCAATTTTTTTCATATTTTTGTACACTAATTTAGACATTGAGAAATTTCACACAAAGTCGATTATCAAATCAGATAAGAAAAAAACGAGTTGTCAAATAGTTAAAGATGTTGGGTTAATCTTTGTAACTAAGTACACACTATTATGCACATACAAACAGAGATCACTGTAATATGACATAGAGGACATTTTTTTTATATGGAAACTTTTTATTATATGATATTTTACCGACGACAGTAGCTCCCAAATTTTTATTTTTCATCGATGTAAACACTCAATATTCTATATCTACCAAGCTTTGCTTACTCCCAGAAAGCGTATATTCTTCCTTATTAAGAAACTCGTTTCGCTTGTTCCTGATATAGAACCTTACAATTTGTACTGTTTCCTCGACTGGAGGCACCACTATAGCAAACGCAGCAGCAATTATTACCCAGACTTGACAAGCAAACGTCCATGATGAAAACTGATCAAAAGTCAATATTTCTAATGATAAAACGTTGGCAGGAATGACTACTCCAAATATCACAAAACTTATTAAACCACCAACTACTGCCAGTATCCGTGCGCTTCTGAAAATTTTGGTCATATGAGTTGTATTAACTTTGATATCTTCTGAAACATTTATATTTGCAAGTTCTTCTCCGTAAATGCATCTCCAAGGATTAAGCGGATTGTCAATTGATAGCGTTTTATCCCAAACCCTTTCAGCATCATGTATTGTCTTAATATTATGTGTGCAGAGCGATATGATTATTGTAGAACTGACACTCATGATTACAGCGGAAGTTATTCCTCCTAATAGGCTGTAATCTGAGGAAGTATTGGTTAGAAAGTTACCTAACCCTCCTTCATACATTAACTCGGCTACAATTAGTACTCCAGCAACATATCCAAATACTCCCATTATACTACCTAAAATGAATATTCGAATTTGACATTACAAAATTTATCATTACTAAGTACACATACTCTATTCGTCAATAACCAAAATGCGATTTCCTGGATAAACGTTTACAGATGCGAAAATAACCATAAGGGGGAGAAAACGCCAATCTTAAATCATTATTTTGAATGCCTTTAGTCGGATGAAATTATGAAATTACAATATACAAGTGTGTTTGATTTTATCAGTATACTTTCAGCTTAAATATGTCATATAACTGTAATTGCATTCTGCAAATTTGTATTCCCAAAATCAGAAAGATCCATTAGCTATAAAAAATGTACCTGTAATTACTGCTTTTGCTGTACACTTTGACCATACAATAGTCATTAGAAGTGGAAAGGGAAATGCGTTGAGAACACCCTGCAGTGTAAAAATAACCCAGTTTAAATTTACACCACTGTTAATAATAAGGAGTCCATATGGCACTATGGCAATTGTTACCAATATCATGCACCAGCTTTTGTAGTGTAATAGTTCGTCTTCATATCGTCGATACCTAAACAAGTAAACATAAATAAATAAACACACAAAACTACACAATCTTGTGCGGTTGAACCTTCCTTACAAAGGAATGATTTCATTCGTTCGCATGGTCAGCAGCCAAATTGACCAGTGTTTAAATCAGTATATTGGATACAGTATGTAATAAAATAAACCGGTTTGAGGCAGGTGTATCTAAAGGAAGGTAAATTGCTACAAACACAATCAAAAATCATATTGATATTTCCAGCTTTTAAAACATTTGTTCAATTTTTAAGTTCTTGTTTTAAGATGTATGATGCGTAACTCTATTTCACTGACAAATGACATCTGCTTTGTACTTGAATACACACATATCTTAATTGTGATTATATTTTAGTTACCTTATTAATTATACATACCGACCATGAACACTACATTCGTATGGATGCATCAATTGCTCAGCCTTCAGTCGGACAACGACATCTTTTTCACAGGCTTTACATGTAAAAACTGAAGGACATTTACAGATCTGGTCTGAGTTTGCTGTATTATCTGTATGCGACTTTTCTTTCCCGCACAATGGACACTGTGTTATATATATACCTTTCCTGCCAATGTTCAAAGTAAATATAACCATACTAGTGTAACATCATCTGTATGTATGATATACTACTGCTAGTATTGATAAAAGAACAGAGTGTATTTGTCGGTTGTATACTTTCAATTTTTAGTCCTAAAACTAAAGAAAATCCACTACTAGTATAAACAAAGAAATTATAAAAGTCATTATGTTTTGGCTTTTCAATAATGTTAGTGATGAAGTATATCGTCGAGTGTTTGGTATTCAAATGGGTTTTATAACATACTTGTTTTTTACTGTTATGAATCACATGTATGGATTAACATCATAATGATCCAACTGGATAGATATTCACTATAAACAATAAAAACAATGTTTAAAATCTAGTAAATGAGTGCAGATTTTATCAAGGTTCCATGAATCAAGTTCAAACTCCAAATCATAGGCTGTAACTCCAGTAAATCTGTATAAATTATTAGATCCACAAAATTACTCACATTGGAATGTTTTGCTTCTAAGTTATATACAAAAATTTGGGGGAGACAAAATTTTGCACTTAAGTCAAGATGGACTACTTTATTTGGCTAAGAAAGTCATCCCTTTTGGCATGATATTCTTGTAAATTTTTCCAAGTTGCAAAATACGTTTAAGGTTGAAAACAGTACTGATATTCTGGCCCAGTCCATGTCAGTCAATATGGCTGAACCAAAACATCAAAACAGATGGCAAGATGATTTTGAAGTTTAGATATATTGAAAATTGTGTATTCTTTATGAGTGATCTGGTGTCATATAATAATACATTATCCTCATATTGAGAATTTATAAAAAAGTTTAATATCAATACTAATTTTGTAGAGTTTTATGGTATTATTAGTGCAATTCCAAATAGATGGAAAAGTATGATAGAAGGTCCTAAATCTGACAATATTGAAAATAAATTGGTAGATAAAGTTCAAAAGTAACCAAAATCCTGTAAATAAATGGGAAATAGATTTTGATATGCAGATTGAAGTTTGGAATACTATTTACTCCATGTTTTTTCTTTATAACCAGAAACTCGTTTTTACAAAATTTCGATTTCAAGATTGTTCATATGATTCTACCATGTAATTTATTTTTATTAAATTGTGCATTAAAAGAAACTGAACTGTGTACAATTTGATCAGAAATCAGAGAAAAAATGTCACATTTTTTGGGAATGTAATTTTGTACATAATTTCTGGATATTCATGATAGACTAGATTATAAAGCGCAAAAAAAGCTGAAGTGACTTAATTACAAAATTAAAAAGCCTGGTAAAAGATATAACCTTTAGTTTGTCATTTGTTACAAATTACCTGTATGGATTGATATAAACCTTATAAATATCATAAACTATTATCGATGATACGGCCATTACTTCCCCTGAACCTGTGGACATCAATGCCATCGTTACCATGGTAATCAACATGTAAGCTCCTGTCTTACCCATCACAGCTTCCATTACATATGGAGTAATAAATCCTAAAAATAAGTGATTGCGGAATGATATTAAGCGCAACAATACATTCACAATCGACTACTAGAAAATCGACTAAAATTAGCGTACCACAAGACTATCCAAATTGTCATAAAACTAGCATATATCAATTTAATATGCTATGTAAATCCTCAACATGTTCCTTCAGGTTTCACAGTCTATGGCTTAAGTTGCTTCTGAAAATGTCTTTCTAAATCGTGTATTATTTGCTAGTTCAAACAAAAAAGATGAATAAAATGACATGTGTGGTAACATCAATTAGAAAGCAACTTATCCAAACGAAATCATGTCAGGCTGAGTCATATTATTTTAAAACGTGCTTTTTGCGCACATGGTATTGATTCTTATCACGATTTGAACATATCAAAGCTGTAGCGCAATCATCAAAGTGTTAGCAAAAGTAGAATAAAAGATCAATGCATAAAGACGTCATTTCACTGGCAAAGTATCTAAAACTGAATAAGGTAAAATGATGGAATTTGTAGAGTATTAGTAAACAAATAATAGTTCGGAGGGAGAATTACATTGAACCCGTGACCTCCCGCGCTGTGTCAGAAACAACCGCCCTCATGAGATGCATGATAGAAAATCTAGTTTAAATGTTTCTGAATGACTTGTAGCAATCAGATAATTTCCGTTCAGAATACCGGTATAAGAAATACATTATTAGTTCGAAATATGTAAACAAAAGCTCATCGTAAGGGATGCAAAAGTGGATTCGTGTACTGCTTCGTTTCGAACCTATCCAGCATGACACTATTTTCTACTGGCAGCCGTATCCGATTGTTCTTTGGACTTCATTGATAAATTATTTAACTTATCTTTTTGCTGAATATGATAGGAATATTTGCCATTGGAAGTGAAGCGCCACGCTACAATCAGTAAGAATTTCAATATGTTTTCCTTCCATATTGCTTGTGTATTTACATATCATAGGAGCCTAAAAATTACTATTAAAGAGGGATCGAAAAGAAAGGGAAGATCTTTGAATGTAATACTTTATTCTACTTGACTTGCCAATCTGGATTTTTGTGCTATATATAATTTTGTCCGGAAACTTACAAAAGTTTTATTACAACTACCTACTAGTAACTTGTCTGTTAAAGAAATAAATGTATTGTATCATTAAATTTATTGACGTCAATCGTTGATATTACGGTTGCAATTACTATAGCGAAAAACCGATATATGCAAATATTTAGATTATTATTATTGTTAATTCAATTCTATTTTAATTGATCAATTGTGCCTGTTAAATGATTTTTTTTTATAAACAAATATCTGTAACCATACTGGGCATTTCGGTAGGTAAACAGTGTATTTTAATTCCTCAATAAAAGAAAACGCCGACTTATCAAAGTCGCGGTTCTAAAGAATTGCGTTACATTTGATCGTAGCCGAGTCAGTCATACGTATTTATATTTGACACCAAGTACATGACTAACCCTTGATAAGTACTAGTATACGAAATGAGCCGTAAAATGAAGTATTTACTTACCAGAATCTATATCTAAAGGGCTCAGTAGATGTGTTCCATTCTGATAGCTCATGGACATGTAAACTGTAGTTGACGTAATAGTAATCGTCAATGGAATAGCAAACCAAAGGTAGGCAGCAATGAAAAAGCCTGCAACACCCTGGAAGGGCTTGGCTGCAATTCGACTTTGCCAGTTTGCTTGGTCTAAAAAACTCACCGATGTTGACATTAGAAACATAACTACTCCAAATATCAAACCTCCTCGAGATCTAAATGTCATAAATGAGTTTTGATAATTACCATCAGGACCGTGTACACATTTCATGGCCTCGTACATATTTTCCTTCATTACGAATATGTTATCAGTTTCTTTATATGTAACATGTACAATAAACACTAGAACACTGACGAATGTCAAAGCCGTGTTAAAATATGATATGTAAAAGGTAGTACCAAGTCCACCAATAAAACAATATGAACCAAAAAGAAAAGCCAACAAAAGAAGAATCATTTCGTCCGAAACATCCTTCACTAGAACATAAATGGCGGCTCTAGCTGCTAAGATAAGCGCCATCACTGTTATTGAATTAGTAAACAGTGCAATACAACAAAACACAATATGTGCTCCTTTTCCAAAGCGTGCGTAAATAATCTGAAATTTACAAAAAATATCGTAGACTGAAGAAAAATTGTATGATTGACTACATGTCAATATTTCTGTCCAGATATGTGGAAAATTGTTAGCACATGGTTTCAATGACGGTTCCCCGGAAACTTTTGATTTCTGTCTTGCTTTAAATATGTTATATTATTTAATAAAATTGAGAATGGAAACGGGGAATGTGTCAAAGAGACAACAACCCGACCAAAGAGCTGAAACAGCCCAAGATTACCAATGGGTCTTCAACACAGCGAGAAAATCCCGCACCAGGAGACGGGCTTCAGCTTTAAGACTGTATGTTGACCTCTCTATTTCACTATTTTTGTTGTATGTTGTTTGTAGGTTGTGACCTATTGGCATATACCAACATATTTCATCCATGTCATAGAAGAACAAATCCAGTCAAGGACTTAAAAAGATTTGAGAGGTGATGTAATTGGTATATATTAAGGTGTTTTGTTTTAATGGCAGATCTATTCTATCATCTATTTTACCCTCTTTTTGATACATGTATTCATTTATCTCCTGTTTCATTTTTTTTTATCAAATATCAGTCCGCATTGTCTTGGAAATTCACACTTAATATATGTTTTCTGATGAAAAAAGTAACAATGATGAAAAACAAAATATACAAGCAAGATATTTTATGAAAAATGCATAACAAATCACACAGTATATATAACATACCAAAGTGTTTAGCATATTATCTATGAAACTAATTCAACGTTCAAATTATTTCACCAATTTAGTTCTACTACGGGGCCATCAACTATTAGTTCTATTCAAATGTGTATTTTTATTCGTTTTACTGTTCAAACATTATTAAACTTCAGGAAAAAGTCTGTCTTGCAGTACAAGATTAATATAAAGTATGTATAGATGATGTTGATATTCCATGAAATAAATACATATAGTTGGTTTTCCTGTTTGAATTGTTTTACACTAGTCTTTTTGGGGACCTTTATAGCTTGCTATTCGGTGTGAGCCAAGGCTCCGTGTTATAGGCCGTTCTTTGACATATAATTGTTTACTTTTTACACATTGTGACTTGTATGGATAGTTGTCCCATTGGCACTCATACCACATCTTCTTATTTATATACAGATTTTTAATTTTCTGATAATGTGATAAAAGGATCAAGACATCAACATTTTCTCTATCAGATGTATAATCATTCCGCGGTCGCTATCAACTATCGAGTTTCCTGTCAGATTTATATTCAGTCCTCTGTCGCCATCAAGTCCCAAGTCTCACGCTGATATGATGACATACGGCTGAAATTACATCTGATATAGAAAATATCATCTAACAACCTGATAGAATTGAACAAAAAAAGTCAAAACAAATATATATATATATATATATATATATATTGTTACATCTGGTGATCCGTTTATTTGGCAATCGCCATGGCGGTCAGCAGGGTTTAAGAACATCTGTTGTTCGACCTGCTAGTCAATTGCGTTTTGTTAAAATATACTTTTTCACTTTTTTGGTCTTTTGGAAAATGTTGTTTGTGCTGTATTTAGAAACCCCTAAAAAGAGATTTGTTTTGCATGCACACGTATAAAAATTGCGGTTTTTATCCAACGCAATTAAAGGTTTGAACGTTGTTTTCAATTTAGACTTGTTTATATATATATACATATTTACCTGCAGGAAAGTTTTAGCACCCGGTGCCCTAGTCTTAAGTGTTAATGAAAGTACCGGGAACATTAAAATATCCAACACAATTGATACTGCATAAAATAATGAGCCTCCCAGTCCTGTCTGAAATATAATAACAAACATAAATTACTATAACAAAGCCTGTAATGACCATGCAACATGTTTTGATAAAATGCTGCCCTTTTCTAGCTTTTAGATGATAGAAGGTATATTTTCTTGGTCGATTTATGAGATTTGAACATCGGTAAATTACTGTTGCAGTAAATATTGCTTTCAACTTTTTCTCTCCTCTACACGTTTCATAGTTATATTAAATTGAATCAGTAACAGTGCTTCTATAATATGAATCGTATAAGTAGATCCTTGGCGAAGAAAAAAATTTCCTTTCTTAACTACAATGACTCAAACACCAAATATAGAAAATAGATCATTGCAGTATTGACGTTTTAGTCGACAACATATGTGTTAAATTTGGAAGATTGGTGTTCCATCAAATATTCCGTATTTTAATAAACAATTTATTAACACCCTTTAGTACTGATATGAAGCAGAATATAACATGAGGAATTTGTTTTTAATAAAAACTATTTATTTCTAATTTTCCGTATTACTGATGATAATTCTAATTCATCGAAGATAAGATCTCAAATATCCCTCGAAATACATAAATACTAGTAATACAAAGTATAAAACATGCTTAGTGTCTAGGTCTTTTTTTACGGACTTATAACTGGGATTTAAGACAAAGAAACGGATTTTTCAGTTTTGCTTTTTTAACTTTCCACTCTGGATAGCAATGCATGTTCCTTCAAAGCGTATGAGGTACGTATCTTGATTAACACGATATTTCAAAACATTGTCTTTGTGTAGAGATTTCACTTGTAGAGGCGCATGGATAGCGAATACCTTACAAGATAGACATATTTTCGCTATGAAAGATCCCACATATCCATTATCGTTCATCAGATATTATTACCGATGTTGGCATGTTCCTTGTCATAAGATTACAACAATATTACGCGATGATGCATTGATAGTAGAAGATGCCAACCTTGTTGGTACACCAGATCTTGATGTCACATAATATCTCCTGTTTGAGCATATAAAATTTGAATAGAGTTTAATACATTGTTTATTGGTTATTTTGTTTCACTGCATTTCTTAAAGTATACTTTTCCATAAATTTGTTTAGGTCATGCAGATTTGGTATGTCTTTAAATTGTTGATAATTTACAAATCAGGTATGCATATGAATCCCGCTGAACTGTTTTACAGAATGTTGCACCTAAGGGATCATTGTTTATATCTAAATTTATATTCAACCCTGCAGATAATGAAACGAATGTTCATATGTAGTTGACTATTTTCTTATTTATGTCGTACTGACATTTCTAATTAAATTTTTGGTGGTCACTGTAATTTTTTCCTAGAGTCTGAAAATATATTGTTGGATCTTGTTTTCGAATTTCTAAAAGCAAAATTAGCCCCCGGTGATTTCGTATATTCTTTAATGCATATCAAGGGTATATTGCGTCCTATGTATCAAACCTCTTTAACTGTTCAACTTTAAAGTTTTCTCACCTTACTCATGATTGTAGCACTTTGTAGAAAGTCAGACGGCCATAACATTTGCGATGCCACTGTGACAGCTGTAAGACCTAGTGTTACTTTTCCACCGGCGTCAAAAACTGTATCTAAGCTATGTGCATCACGATAGATATATCGGCGAACTGCAAAGTGGACTATCCCTAAGGTGAACGATAGACCTCCAAAACCAAGGAACATTAAAAGAAGCGCTTCGTGTTTTTCAAGTATTGGCGTTATCCTGAAAAACAATCAAATTTAATATTATTGGAAATAATAATGGTTATAATAGGAAGAAGGAACTGTAAGTGTTTTATTATAATATACTGTTTTTGGATTGACATTTCCTATATGATCCACTGCCCATCAGATTTAAGTTTTTTTTAGAAGTCAGGCACTTTCGTTTGGAGACAATCTTGACTCCAAAGAATGTATAAAAGTTCTCGCCATTAAGAACTGTAATGGGTTGAAATTGTATTGTTCATTAAAAAGGTTTCTTTGACAAGGTGGTTGAAAGTTTATATTTGATATCAAGCTTGTTTAATATCACTTTGGCACTTTGGAGTTCATTTTTGTAGCTTATGTTTGATGTCAAGCTTGTTTATTTTCAGTTCTGGCACTTTGGAGCTAATTTTTGTACTATATTGTATATAATATACAATTCAATGCTCTAATCTTAACATATGTGTAATGTATATATTTCACAGTAAATGGTAGTTACGCTTCTAGATTGAAATTTCACACATGAACATGACCTCTTTTTTATGACAACTAGATTTTAAGCTATTAGATTACAGTACTATATTATCAGCTACTTTAAAAATGTCTATGATGCTTAACCATGACATAAACAGGTAATAAAAGGAACCTAAGAGCCATTCGAGTGATAAACATTTACTTACGCAAGAAATGAACTTATAAAGACAGTAGAGTGCTGACAGTTGACTTGCACAAAGATTAATAATGATATTAGATTGCTAAAAGTTTGTGAAGTAATTGAAAAAAAGAATTAGAGTACTAAAGGTTTACTTACATCAGAAATGACAAAGAAATTAGATGGCTGCCAGTTTTATTACTTGCTCAAAGATTGAGACCTCATTAGAGTGTTGAAATAAACTTACACAACACAGACATTAGAGTGCTAACAGTTTACTTACAGAAGGATTGAAACAGTCATAAAAGACCTATTTCCTTTCTTACACAAGGATTGAGAGTCATTAAGATTTTGTATGTCCTTAAAGAGTCAGTAATTTTAACAAGAAAATTTTAAGAAATATATGATTGAAATGTGTATTACATTCGTTCCGGTAATAAACACATTTTGTAGATGTGTAACAAAAAAAGTATTATCCAACATATTGTAGTAAAAGGAGTCGTTTTTTTTTTACTTTACAATATGGGGAAGATAATGACTGAGGAAATAGCGTTTACTTACACAAGGATTGAGACAGTCATCAGAGTGTTAACAGTTTACTTACACACGGCTTGATTACGAGTAAAGGAATAAGACCAGTAATGCACAGAACCCTTGGTTTCTATGTTAAAACTTCAAGTATGCATAGCTATGTTGTCTTAAGTTAAAATAAAGTTATAATCATTTCATGTCAAAACTATACCTTATCCTAACCTGTCCTAAAAAATCAACATACCTTTAATTGCATATTAGAGCGGCTCCTGGAAGTGGGGTTGTACAAAAACAGGTACTTCTGATCTGAGCAACAGGGCAAATATGCTCTCCTATCTTAATTTCATATACTTTTTATCATTCAAACGAAACTTTTAACAAGGATTCTGCAGTTATCACAAGTCCTTAAGCTATCATTTGAAACCAAAATTACCCAAATGTTTTACTTATTGACAAAGTTACAGCTATGCGTAGGAACTATTCTGTTTAAAATATGTACTACTTTCTTGTATGTTCAGGCCGAATTAGTGGTTCTATACATAAAGAGCGCCGAGAGTTTACTTGAACAAGAATTGAGAGACATTTGAATGCTTACAATTTACTTGCACAAGAATTGATAGAGATTTTAGAGTGCTGACAGTTTACCTACACAAGAATTAGTAGAGATACTAGAGTGCTGATATTTTACTTGACCAAGAATCGCCTAAGACATTCTAATGTTGACAGTTTACTTGCACAAGGATTGATAAACACATTAAATTTTGACAGTTAACTTACACAGGAATCTATACAAAACTTAAGAGTGTATACAGTTTACTTGTATAGGAATCGTTAAAGTGCTGACAGTTTCCTACAGCAGTAATCGATACAAACATTAATTGTTGACAGTTTATTTGTACGGGATGTTAAAAAAAACAAGAGTGTTAAACATTTACTTACACAAGGATTGATAAATACAAGGATCATTAAAGACTTAATTTAATGATAAAACTTAATAATTTAACAGTAAATGTTAAAAAAAAAAAGAAATAAAAAAAAAAAAAAAAAAAAAAAAATACACAATATCACTTTTAGAGTCTTACAAACCGACAATTACGGTCATATTATTAGAAATTAAGAAAAACAAACAAACAAAAAAAAAAACCTCACTAAGCTCATATATTTAGGAATAGAAGCATTTGCTACAGCCTTTTCTATGACGGTGTCACTAAGATTTGTTTTTATAATTTAACAGTATATGTTAAAACAAAAGAAACAGTAAGAACAAAAGAAAATACAATATCACTTTCAGTGTCTCACAAACTGACAATTACATTCATATTATTAAATTTTTTTATAAAAATAACAAAAAACACATTAAGCTCATATATTTCAGAATAGAAGCATGTGCTAAATCCTTTTCTATGACGGTGTCACTAAAATTTGTAAAAGAGGATATTTTAGTTAGACAGACAAACACTGAATATTGTAAATATATGCACAACCCTGCACTATTGTTTCGCTGAAAATCTCTCCACTTAACACAAAATCAAACAGTTGCATTGTTTTAATAATATACTGGTACTAATATTTTTTCATATTTTTCTATTTTTTCTTCTTCCATATATTACATGTATATATATCTGAATAGGCGACTAAAGGTGTAGGTAGGGTAATTTATCATTCAATGATAGAAGTGGTTTTTTTTCTCGTCAAGGACGGAGGAATCACTAAATACCAGTATGTCTTTGGAATGTTATTCGGAGTAATATACGCGACCGTTATGGAAAAGAACAGCTATAAATACTCGCCAAAATGTAATAAAACTGCATTAAGGAATGAGTGTATATACATAATATCTATGTTATATGAATTTAAAGCGAAATTACTATATAAGTAATCCGCCTACCAAAACCAATAACAACAACAACAACAATTATTAAAGACATTAGAATGCTAACAGTTTACTTGCACATGAAATAATTAAGACATTGGCGTGATACCATTTTTTTTTCTCGCAAGAATTGCTAGACATTTAAATGCTGAAATCTTAGATACCCAAGATTATTAGAGACAATGTCGAAGATCGACAGTATAATAACAGCAGGATTGAAATAGTTAAGACATTAAAGTGCTGAAAGATAAATAATCTATACTCGGATTGACAGAGATATTGATTGTTGACAATTTACTTACTGTGATTGTTTTTCATATCTTAGTGACGTCACCCGACAGGACGAGTTACTGGCAAATGCAATCCGTGCAAGAAACACAACCAGAATTACCAATATCATTTTTTATCTGAAAAAGAACATTTATTTGCTTTTCCCCACAATGGTTTTCTTGTAAACGACTTGCATAGTGGTACAAAATGAAAACAAAACTTTGTAAATTGCATGCGTTCTAAGCGCTTTTCTGGAACGATAAATAGTAAATGATTTTCACCCTGATATAAAACGTTATTTTCTTTAGTAAACTATTCAAATCTTTTATTTTCTCAATATATATTTGCCAAAGAATCCGACTTAGTGTATGTAGTTATAAGCCTATCTTGTCTTACTGCAGAAGGGTCTGTAAAACAATACAGACTGGGTAAAAAGAAAAATGAAAGAACATCGTGCTTTGTTTGACATTTTAAAATTTTTTGATTCGAGCATTATTGTATTTAGACGAAACGCACGTCTGGCGTTTAAAAATTTTCATCCTGGTATCTATGATGAGTTTTTTTCCAACCACTGGGTCGATTCCACTGCTGTTGGAGGTTTCTAACCCAAGGGCATCAACAGCCCAGTGGTTAGCTTTTCTGCGTTGACATGAATTATCACTAATATGGTCATAATTATAAATAAACTGTTTACAAATTGAAATATTAAGGATTTTTCTACCTCAGGAATAGATTTGCTTAGATGTTTTTGGCAAAACCTTTCGGAATTATTGGTCTCCAATGATCTTCAACCTCATGCTTAATTTGGCAATTTTTAATTTTTTTTTATTCGAGCGTCACTGATGAGTCTTATAACGATAAACCGCGCGTCTGGCGTACAAAAACTTCAATCATGCATGGTATCTATGATGATGTTATGCTCGTGCATGTTTACACTATACTGACTTCATATACAGGAGTGTGCTCCTTACGTAGAAACTGCTCCAACAGAGTTATGAGGAGGAAAGATTAAAAATGACACTCCGTAAATATTAGGGACACCAACACGAATTTGTTGATCTATACGATGTGTCTGTGTCTAAACTAACCAATGACATTTTTACCATGTCTTAGATTGTGGTTTAACATCTATGTCGTCTGTCTGCTAAGAATCGAACGCGACCTATTCCCGAATATGACTGTTATACCGAGAGTGAATTTACATTGCTATACGACGTGTCTCGGTGTTTTGTACATCCAACTTTCATGTATTTTTTTTTGAAGTTTTTGTTATGGTTTCGGTTGAATAATGTGTTATGTCGTATCGTTTGTTGTCCAAATAATTATAAAATTGCCTTTCCATACCATCATTGTCATGAAAATTGTTTGGACGAATATTGTGAAAATAATTGTATAAAGTTCGAGATTGCATGTTAGTTAAGTTAGCGCGTCACTGTTTTTGATATCCTGTGGTGTTTTCCGTTGATGGAATATGTTCGTTGTTGTTCTGTGGTCTGCATGTTGTGTCGAATATCATATTATTTATTTGTGCGTCTCTCTGTTATGAATGTTCATGCGTGTGTTTGTGCTGTATTTCTGTCACGTAGTGTTTTAGCGATATTTTTTTACATTGTCATAAAGCGGGAGGTTAGGCATTCCATGAAACCAGGTTCAACCAACCATTTTTTCTTAAAATGTCCTGTACCAAGTCAGG